TAGATTGATAGATAGAGAGATAGAGGAGGCATGTTTGCTTGGTTAGAGAAATTTGGCACCGGGGAGTTCGCCTTAAAATATTGATTTCGTGGCAGGCGCGGGTGTCGGGGATGAAGTGCAGATTTCGTGGCGCGGGGGGGGTTGGGGGGTGCGCAGCGCCAGCTCGTGCTTGCTTGCTTGCTTGTCGTCGTGCTTCGTGTCAGGTGCAGTACTTTGTGGACCTTGCAATGCACATGTTGAAGTGCAGAGTTGGTGGCCAGTGGTGGGCGCAGGACTTTATGGGCCTTGGAGTGCAGATTTCGTGGCAGGCGCAGGACTTTGTGGACCTTGAAGCAGGACTTTATGGGCCTTGGAGTGCAGATTTCGTGGCAGGCGCAGGATTTTTTTGTGGACCTTGAAATGCAGATTTCGTGGCAGGTGCAGGACTTTGTGGGCCTTAGAGTGCAGATTTCGTGGCAGGCGCAGGACTTTATGGACCTTGAAGTGCAGATTTCGTGGCAGGTGCCGGACTTTGTGGCCTTAGAGCGCAGATTTCGTAGCAGGCGCAAAAGTTTTTGATGTGGGAGTGTAGAGTTGGTGGCAGGTGCAGGACTTTGTGGGCCTTGGAGTGCAGATTTGGTGGCAGGACCAGCGGACCAGCGGACCAGAGGATGAGGACCAGCGGACCAGAGGACCAGGGGACCCGCGGACCAGAGGACCAGCGGACCAGGGGACCAGCGGACCAGATGACCGGCCACCCACACGACTGGGAATTCCAAGAGATTTCATCGCAAAACGAATATTTTGTTGATTCAGTAAATATTTGCTTTTTGATTCGGTAAATATTTTTTGATTCAGTAAGTATTTGTTTTTTGATTCGGCAAATATATTTTGGTTCGATAAATATTTTTTTGATACCTATGCCTCTTCAGAAACTCTTCTTGGATTGCTGGTATACCAGTGCAACCGAAGCTCAACATCAACTCTCTTGAACCTGGCACGCACCAGTAGTCAACATCCAACAAGTCTCCTTGATCTTGTCGACTCAATGTACGACCTTGTCTGATCAAATCATCTGCAACCATATCTGAAATGCTTTCCTGCCACAAGGTCATATCCAGCTGATGAACTTGCTGGATTAATGGCGTTCTCCTCTTCTCCTTCTGGTGAGGCTTGTTCTTCTTCCTCCACATCTTCAAATTGTTCTTCTTCTTCGCACTCCATCTGAACCTGTCCGTAGTACTGAAGAAGTCCAGCCCATGAACTCGGGCTACTGTCCTCATCTCCTAAATCACCTTCTGGCATGTCTGATCCTCTTTTTCCCCATAGTGCTGCTTCATCAACTGCACCTCAACTTCCAGCACTATTTTGTTGTGGTTCATGAACGTTCTCATAGCCACTGTTACTATCATCTCCGTACCATTCATCTCCTTCGTCTCCATGGTAGGGAGTGGTGGTCCTTGTGTGGTCAACATATCCCGAAAATGGATCATCACCTCCGGGATCTTCGTCATCATCATCTCCTCCTCCTGCTTCACTGCTTGTGCTTCCTCGTGGACGTCTTCTCCTCTGTTGTCTTGTCAACTCATTCTGCAAATCTTCTAAGGCGTCCTTGTACTTGAACAACTGAATTCTCATGTGATTGATGTGGTAAATGAACACGCTCAACATCACGACCAACACCGCAATCAAACCTGTGAGTATTGCCAAGCTAAAGGCTTGATGCCTCACTATCTCATCGAATCCTCTTTCGCTCATGCAACTGCCTGCATCTTCTCCACATCCTTTTTAGAAAACCTGCAGCTGCCAACAAATGAATGACTCTTCTGGCACTGGGCATGGTTTGCTCTTTGAAGGTGTTACTGTGCAAACCGATGAGCTGCTCAAGAGATTCTCGACGTTCTCTGCTCAAGCTCTTGGTGTTGAGATCTGCGGGGTTGTTCTGAGTGCTAATTCTTGCAACTTTGAACCATTGCTTCCTCATTGCACTCTGTCCCCATAGGATCCTTGTACTCAAATGCTTAGCTTTTCCTGGACCCAATCTCTGAAAGAATGCTTGAGCCGAAGTGGAATCCATGTACAACTTCATCTCCACCTCTTCATTGCATCCAAGGTCTTGCTTGCAGTTCAACAGGAATTGTGCTTGATGCACACACCTTCTGCCAATAATCCCGTTGCTGCTAACACTTCTGCCTCCATTGACGACAATGCTATGGAAGCTTGTGCTCTTGAATGCGAGTGAATGCAATGCCCATTCAAGAAGATCAACCCAGCACTCGTAGACTTGCGACTCACCTTCGAGGTCGCCCAATCAGAGTCTGAAAACAACTCAATGTTGTAAGATCTCTTGAGACGCTGACCCTCATTGGTCACATGATGCCATCGACCAAAGACATTGCTTCTCAATGTTGCTCGTTCAAATCGCATGCACATATCTCCTGTCCACTGGAGATAGGAAGCCAACTTCTTCAAGGCGTTCATAGAGTTCTTTGTCGGGTTCGACATGAATGAAGCAAGCATTCGAACAGCAAATTGTACATCTGCCCGTTCTTGACTGATGTAGACGCAAATTCCCAACGCTGATCTAAAGATCTTTGCCTCCTCCTTGGACAACATCTCTTCTTCTTTCACTGAATCTGGACTGCAGACATCCAACGTTGAATGAGTGGGAATTGTCCTTGCACGTTTGTCTTGAAGCTTCAACAAACTTGTCAACTTTGGAATGTCCTTGGGATTCACACTGATTTCGACCCCTTCACTGTCAAAGCTGATCTGTCGCTTCAAGTAGTAAAGAACACCTGGTCTCTCCATTCCGTAAGGTCCTTCTGACTTCAATGTCAAAATCTTCTCAAAGTGCTCTTTAAATCGTCTGTGCTCGTTCTCTGTTCCAACCAAAACAATGTCATCGATGTGAACAGACAAATACAAGTCACAGCTCTTGTGTCGGAACAATGTGCCTCCCTGGTAGGCTTCAAAGCCATACTCCTCACACAGCTTTGCGAAATGTTTGTTCCACTCTAAAGCTGCTGCTCGTTGTCCTGGTAGGCACTTACATAGCTTCCAGTACAGTAGTGTCGGATCCTGTACTGCTTCTCTTACCCACTCTGGAACCTGCACAATGACAACCTCTCTGTGGCACCTGAAGAAAAGCATCGCTCACATCATACACTGAACCATGAGATTCTGCAAAATGGAAAGCGAAAACAACATCTTGATGTAGGCGAGAGGTGAGGTAGGAGCAAATGTGTCTGCCGTGCTGTTCGTGGTCCTGAATTCACGGGCCACTAGTCTTGCTCTCCTCGTCCAACATTCGTTGCGGAACCTCCAATCAAACACAACACGAGTGTCCAATTCTGTTGCCTCTCCAATCTGCTGATTCTCTGAAATGCTCTCCAATACTTGCAGTTTACCTAATCTGTCAAGCTCTGTAAACAATGCTTCTTTGTTCAACAATGCCAACTCTTCTGACGTCACCGTTGGTGGTCCTTGACCTTCATCCAGGAATCCTCTTTTCTGTTCGTCTTCTGCGGGAATCACCGTTCCTGAACTGCTTAGACTTGCCCAGTCTTCTTCATCTCCTCCATACTCTGTAGCACCAATCTCCTCTTCGTCTTCATCGTACACCTCAAAGTCCTCAATCACACGACGAACTGCTCCTCTTCTCTTTGATTCGTGATCTGTTTCGACTATTGTTGAGGCTGATGCTATACTCTGCTCTGTTGTCTTGGTCAAATCTGACATGTTTATGCTCTTGTTCTGTAGTGTGTTCTTCTGGCCTCTTGACCCTTTGTGGTTCTGCTCTGGCTTTGGAAGCTCTAGATCCACTGGATGTGGGGTCTTCAGGGTGTCTCTTGGGACTAGATGTCACCACTTCTATTTCATTCTTCTCACGTCCAGCTGCTGTTGCTTCTGCTGCTGCCGGTGTAGCTGCTGCTGTTGTTGTTGCTTCGTCCTTCTCATTTGTTTCTTCTTATGGCCTGGATGCCCTGCCTGTCTCAATTCCTTGTCACTCTCATCTGAATCTGGATGATCTTTGGCATGTTTCATCACTGCAGCGGCATCCTCATCAACAACTCTTTTCCTCTTTTCTTTCAATGAGTCTGCTGGAACAGTGGGAATCGGTTGAGGTGTAGGTGGTTGCATCGGTCTCGAATCCACCTTTGTTCGAACTTCTCGCTTCAAATCCCACGGTCCAACCTTGGCGTTCAACAGCAAGTAGCCATCCCAGAATTCACCCGTCTTTCTCACTGCTTTGCTTCTGATGACTTCATCAGTGTAAACCAGGATGAGATCGTGATCCATGCTGTCCTTGCCAAGCCAACATCCTTTGCGCCATTGAGACCTGTACTTCTTCTGTAATGGATCAAGGCCCCAAATCATCTCTCCAAAACAACAGACTTTGCCACGATATGGCCTTCCTCTCAAGCTAACGTGCGCTGTCAGGCCTGTTGCTGAAGAAACATGGTAGTGGTTCAACAACCATGCTGCATGCATCATGCTCCAACTCTGCATGACACTGTCTTCTTCTATGGGAATCCGTGCTCTGTCCTCAACATGTGCCAGTAGCGTCTTGGCGACTTCTCATAGAAGCGTCCTGGAGTCAACGTGGTTTCCAATCCTTGGTTGGCTCTGATTTGTTGAGCCATCCGTGCACCTGCTGCTAGCACGGGTTCATTGTCATACTCCATGTCGCCTAATGTGGAACCAAGGAAATGGGCCATCAACCCCCCTAGAACTCCAGCATTCTTGTTCTTCACCGGCACAACATGCACGAACTTGGACCAAACATCGACCATCAGCAAAAGTGACAACGATGCTGTGTTGAAGAACATGTCAACTTGTACTGTCGGGTATGTTCTCAATGCTGCATCTGTTCCTTCTGTTGAGTGTTTGTCCATGACACAGAAACTGCACCACTTCTTGTAAGGTAGACGTGTGATCTCGTGCAACTTTCTCTCTCGTTCACTTGGTTGCTTTGGTTCTTCTCTCATCTTTGGTTCTGGATGTGCCAATGCATACTCCTGCCTTGCAACTTCAAGTGCTCTCTGCTTCAATGAAAGCTCATAGGAACTTCTGATGCGGTCAAACACTTTCTTCTTTGAACCTGAACTTGGAATCTTCAAGAACTTTGCTGCTTGCCTCAAATCCTTCATGTTGGACTGTTCCGTCAACTCCATGCCTCCAACATAAATGACTTCTTCTTCTCGAGGTCTCGGTTGGAACTCCAGCTCTCCTGTTGGTACATCTTGCCCATGTACTTCTTCCGTTGGAATCTCCTGTCCAACTGCCTCTTCTGCCATCTCCTCTTCTTCAATGACAGCATCTGGAGCCAACAAATCACCTCCTCCGTCAAGCAGCGTACCAAAGGTCGAAAGGTTCTCTGCCTTCTCTGAAAGGATGGTGAGGATAACAAACTGTTCATCCTCTGGAATCTCCTGAATCTTTCCAAAAGGTTCTTCCAACTCTGCATACTTCTCTGACACTTCCACAACTGTCCATGTGTTCTCATTGTCTGCAACACGTTGGATCAATGTCGTACGGTATGCAAAATTGCCAGACCATACCACTCTTGGATCAATCAGAAAGCGTCCCAAAGTTCGCATGAAAGGATGCTTGTCCTCTACATCCCACACACCATATCTTCTGTTTTGCTGGTAATCTGGGGCGATCTGAACAATTGCACGAACCTCAAATTCTTCTTCGGCCTTGGCAAACATCTCCACTCTGCACACCTTTGCATCTATGGCCAACGAATTGCGCTGGTAGTGAACGGGTATTTGGACTTCACCCTGCGGACTCTTGAGGACCAAACCATTGTTTTCTTGAGCTACACTCCAACCTCTCTTGTAGAGTTCTCCCCAGGAAAGAATGCAACTCTTCACATCTCCAACAATGAATTGATGTCTCAACTCGACCTCTTCTCCTGTCAAGGCATCCTGAACAACAAGTGTGGCGTCTCGACAACCTCCGGCTTTCAATGCTGTTCCTTGACAATCTTGGAGTCGAACTGCTGTTGCCTGCATGTCCTGCGCACTGAAACACATAGGAAGCAAGCTTACATCTGACCCTGAGTCCAAGATCACAGAAGTGTAGTGTTCAACCTGTCCGGCTTCTCCTGTGACTTCCTGAATCAACACCATGCGTACACTTGAAGGCATTTCACTTGACATGGATGGAGGGCCAATGTGAAAAATTCTTCTAACAGCAGTGTTCAACGTGGAAGTGGAAGATGGTGGTGCGGTTGAAGCTACTGATCCTCCTGCAGGTCTTTGTTGCTGTGGTTGTACCACTGTCACCTGCTGAACTCTACGCGGACAATCTCGGGACCAATGGCCAAAACCTCTGCGAATCCGACACTGGTTTTGCTCAATGCTGTTGCCTTTACCGCCATTCTTGCCCTTCTGCTTTCCTTTGCTTCCTTTCTTGCCTTTGCTGTTTCCTTTACCTTTGAACTTCCCTTTGCCTTTGTTGCCTTTGTTGCCTTTGTTGTTGGGATAGTAAGGAAGCTGCCACCACTTGCCTTTGCCCTTGCTCTTGCTTTTGGTCTTTCCTTTTCCTTTGTCTTCAATGCGGTCAACTTCCATAGGTGCAGGACCTCCCGTGTCTGTCCTAATCATGCCTCCTTCTGTCTTCAGCGTCAGACTGCGAAGAATGGACTCTTGATTCCATGTCTTTGAAGCTTGCTCATGAGACAACATGGTTTCTCTGACATTCTGATAGCTGCTGCTTTCAGTAATCGTCAAAGTCAAGCGCTCACGCAATTTGCTCTCTGCACAAGTAATCAATGTTGCAATCTTCAACTCCTGAGGGTATGTTGTTGAACTCAAAGTCTCAAACTCTTGCACCAAACGCTCGTACTGCACAATGCACTCTAGCACGCTCTTGTCCTTTGGAAATGCTGGATAGCTTGCTAGTGCTTGCGCCACTGCTAAGGATCTGCTCCTTGTCGAAGGCAAAAACTCTTGGCGCAACATCTTCCACAACTTGAATCCGTCCTGCGTCGACTTCTCTGCTTGGACCATATTGAGACATTTTCCCCTCGTGTAGCTAGTCAGAATGGAAAACAACTTGATGCTCAACGTTTGCTCTTCTGCATTGTACTCTGCCATGCTTGGCATCGTTTCAAGCTGTTCAACCTTTTACAACAATGCTTTGAACTTTGGCTCCCCGAAATTCAACCAGGATGTAAAAACAAACTTCCAAGTCATGAAGCTATGTGGATCTGAGCCATCGTACGGCTCTGGATTGCGCAAGGTCCTTGAGTCCTTGAGGCTGTTTGCAATCCCGTTTGCAAGCCACTGGAACTCGAACTTGCTCCACCTGATCACCAGCCAAAGAAGCCAATCCTACCTCTGCTGCAGTTGCTGCCTTTGTTGCTGCTTCAGTCATTGCAGCCATTTTCATGAACATCTCTTGATCCATTGCTCTGCCACAATAATGCAACCAACTTGCAAACAACAATGCATACAACTGCTTTCGTCTCACCTGCTTTGCCCTTGCAAACACTTTCTTCTTCGTCCTCGATTGCCTGTGTTTGCACCGACTCAAGTGGCTCATCATCCAAGCTGCTATCAAGCTAATCGTCCATGCGATCCAGCTCCTTGTCATGCTCATCTCCTGCCATAACCGCTGCAAGAAATCTTCTGCAAGCTCCTGAACTGTACCTGCATCAGGCATCTGTTGTAGCAACTTGTCAACCTGTTGGGACAATGTATGAACCGTCTTGTTCATCAACTGCAATGTACCAAACTCTTGAGTAGCACCTTCCCAGCTTGTATTGCACTTGTCATCAAATGTCAAGCACATCTTCTCTTCATCCAACATGTACACCGCCATGCTGTTCACTTCCTGCCTATATCCCTTTTCAAGTTCTCCACTGTTGGATTGGTTCATCACCCGTCCAGTGTTCCTGTTTGTCACCAGATCGACTGTTCTCTTTTCGGCTTCATCCCAGCTGTTCAACATGCCAACTGAGCTCCACCAACCTGCAATGTTGCCCAACATCCAATCAACATTGCTCAATGCATTGATCACGCTCAAGCCACCAATGCACAATGCTTCAATGCTCAACCAACCTGCATTGCTCAATGCATCTCCAATCCACAATGCACAACCGTCAAGGTCATAGTTCACCTCTTGCTCATGCTCCAGGGTCAAATTCCAAGCACTGCTATCACCAACATGGTGTCCAAAGGCCTCGAACCCTTGTCCTGTCTCTTCGTCCACACCGCCAGTGAAGCAACCTGTCAACTCGGCCTCAAACCAAGCTCCTTGGGACTTGAACCCAGTGGCACAATGGCCTTCCAACAACGTGGAATTCGAATTTGCTTCCTCGAAGCCAGCGGTCTTCTGCTTTGCCATCTGCCAGTCACCTTGAGGAACATAGGCGCAGGCTTCCTCTCCGCAGTGCTTCTGTGGCACCAATGCCACTGCCAGGAACCATGCCATGGCTCTCAACCCTGGTAGCATCATCGCCCTGGGGAGGGCTCCGCTACCATCACAAAAAGCGGCGACGCGCCTTTTCACAACTTCGAGCCACTATACAGCGGAGTGTTCGAGGGTGCTCGTGAACATGTGCTCATCTTTCACAGAAAGAAAACGGGAGGGTCGGTCGGATCGGATAAGGTCAAGCTGCTAATGCATTGTCGAAGCAACGTCTGGGTTTCTTGGGAGGCTGAACCTCAGCTTCCGCGGAAAAAAATCTCACAGCCACTTCGCTGTCACGCGGCCTTTTCATTCTGATTTTGTAGGATGACTCTGGTGAGCTTTCCCGGAACCTTGCTCAAAATGCTCAAGCAATACTCGATCCTAGAATTATGATATGGTCTGTGTTCGGCAACAACCATACTTGGACAAATCACTTGCGCATATATAGATATGTAAGGACGAATTTGATGACCGCAAAGTTGTTAGCCCACCCCTGATTTTGGGTCCATCACCATGGACACTTGCCCACAATGTCACGCTCACCAAAGTTTGACAGAGCGGCGAAACACATCAGTCAACAGCATCAAACAAGCCGGGTAACCTCGGCGGAGGCATCGAGACTTGGTGCTGGGAGCTGGTCCAACATGGCTGCAAGATCCCCCGCACGGCGGCTGAAGTCCTGAAAAAGACGGAGTCAGGCCCCACAAAGATTATGAAAAATATATACGCGGGTTCTGGATGACCAACACAAAGTGAGTGTCCAGTGCAGTGCACCAACACATGCAAATCACAAACCACTCTGAGCAACCGCGGCACTCACTTCAATACAAACACCATATGCCATATGGCTCAAGAATTTGCTGGACCAAGAATCCACCGTTTGAGGTGACGCACCTGGGGCTGTAGCCCCAGGACCAACGAAAATCGGTGGAGAAGGCCCGCTTTCAGGTTCAACCTGCGGGCAAAAAGAACAGACTTTGTCCTCACAAGACAAAGGGCAACAGGATAGAGTCGAGAGTCCCCATGTCGAGAAGCATCGCATACGGGAATTGTTCATTTTTCAGTCAAGGGTGACCAAACAGTTTGTCCTGTCCTCCCTGAACCTGAAATTCACAGAAAGCCTCGGAACTACATTACACAGCGCGCACAAAAAATAACAAGTAATGCAAACAAATGATCATTTCTTGAAGTCCTTGGCGCGCCGTCCACGCCCACGAGCTCGACCAGCGCCACCGCCTCTTGCACGCCCCAGCGTGGCCAAGAAGTTGAGTTGTGCCAATTTTGCTGAAGCCTGGAAGCGTCGAAAAAGCAGCAACATGTGTGGGCGGCGAATGTGGACGTGAAAATAACCAACATTGCCAAGTCAAAATCTGTTCATGTTACTGTTGGCAATCTTTTGAATTGCAATTTTTAGTATCCAAATGCCTGTGCGTTGCTTGCAGCCGGCTCCAGTTTTGGCTCCACTGGGACCAGCGGTGGCATCTCAGGGTCCGTGCTCGGACTGCGCTCAGCCGGGTCATCGGATTGCTCGGCCATGCCACCAAGAGCTCCAACCATATTCAAGTGGAATTGTGTAGCGTCAAGAGTGATTCGGAAACTGTCTGTGGCGGCGATGTGCTTGTTGCAAATGTTCACTTTGTTTAATGGCTTGGAACTTTGGAACATCCGACATTTTCGACATTCCATGTCAGAATCCGACAGTCTTGAACCGGCACGCCGGGGTGGCATCACATGCGCAAAACAAACAAACATAGCAAATATTAGTGACGTGAGGATGTGGATTGGGGGGAAGACTATTCACTATCGAATAAGTGAGCAATAGTCGTCACCATGGCCGACCACTTTAGGAAGTTCACCAAAAAGGACGATGTGCTTCTTTTCCAAAACCCTACGGACATGATCAGGCATTGCTTGTTTGCACCATCGCAAAATAGAGCGCACTCCACCCGCGGTTAGATGCAACTCTTTCCTCCGCCCCTTCCAGTGATGGGCGGAGGGGGAGGCGGATTCGCGGGTGGATACAAAGAACACCTGCCAACACCAACGCCGCGAACAATTCGCAACCCATGTGAGGGAGGAAAAGGCAACCACAATGACGACGCGGTAGGTGTGGAAAAAGCGGCTGAGGGCAAAATTGACACACATCTGGCCGCTTTGCTGTCACCACACATCCAGCCTCAACCCCCTATTCGGAAAGTTTCCGCCAACACCTCACCCTGCCAGGCGGTTGGCCGTCACACACCCACCTCCAAACCAGGCCAAGCGGTTAAAAACCCAAGAGGGTACAAGACCGAGCAACATGGAAAGCACTCAGCCGCTTTGTCGGCAAATGCAGCATGGTCATTAATGACCAGACCCACCCTCGAAGAAACAAAAAAGGCATCGCTGGAGGCCCTTCCATAGAGATAAGTCTGACGAAATTCTGCCTCGTCTCAATTCCTGTAGTGCCTGAAGTCTGAAGTTACATCCGTCCGGGGAAGCCTGTGGCTTTCGAAGAAGCCTTGGCTTTCTCTTCCTCCTTCCCGTGAGTTTCTGGAGCAGTTGTCTTTTTGACCTCGGGTGTCTTGTGCGCTAGTACCTCCACGCCTTCAGGTAGCCAAAAGTTGCGGCAGTCCAAGCTGGTGGAATCAACGGTAACGGTGAAAATGGACGGCTCGCAGAGGTCACCGCCATCGTGCGTTCCTGGAACATGGTGATGGGAGGCTCCTCCAAGAAGCTGATTAAATAAGCAATGGCCGAAGTGTTTTTTTTTCAAGTACCTTTTTCCGCGCGAGACCGGTCTATGGAGGTGACTGTGTTTATACTGGTCTGTCCCCCAAGTGTGTTGGGAGGCGGCTGGGTTGGGGCGGTTCGGTGGGACAGAGAGGTTCCCCTCGTGGCTGGTCGTAGTTGTTGGCGGCGTTTTCTGTCCGTCAAGAGGGCTGTTTTGCGTTTTGAAGGGAAGATTGGAGCCGTTCGGCTGGACGAAGATGTCGATCACCCAGGGTAAATGCACGGCGCTGGCTGAAGGGCTGAAGGGGGTTCCCAACCGCGCGTTTGAAGGGCCTGCGCAGCTGCCCGTGCTGCTTGGATGGCTCGGGGGCGCGCGTCAGTTGTTGGATGATGGCGTTGGCTAGGCGTTGGCTAGGCTGGGAAGCTGGCGCTGGAGGACGACCCAGGGCCAGGAAGCTTGGGGGCAGTGACGGCTGCGGCAGTTAAGCCTAAACCAGTATGGCCAACGCACTTGCTGGGATTGGCACACTGCCACGGCTTCGTCATGGTTTGCGCCGAAGTCGGCGATGGACTGGGGCAGGAGCGTGGCCCCAACTCAGCAGTTGCCGGCTCATGGGACACGCTGGCCAGCACAGATCAGCAACCTCCCGCACCAGTGGGCCCCAACCACGAGGATGGCAAGGGCCAACTGTGACAGGACTCAAGGTGTACGGACATTTGCCACCAGGCAGCCACGCCCTCCTGGACTCCCAATCCGGGCTATATGCGAGCCCGCGCTTTCACTACAGTATACCTCAAATTCCACATACACGTCTGAACACTTCCATGCGCTCATGCTTCGAAGGCTCCAGCGCCACTCCCCGTCCACTAGGGCTTGACACACTTGGTGACCAGTGTGTGCACAGTCGGGACTTTTGCGCAGTCACGGAGGGCCACTGGAACGAGCACAGCAGCAGCAGCAGCGGCAGCGGCAGCGGCAGCGGCAGCAGCAGCACCAGTCAGCGACGAGCTGTTCCCAACAGCCACACCACCCGCGCGAAACCAGCCAGTTCCCACAATCCAGTCCAGCCCACTGCCCGGCCTCGCCTCTGCGCGCATGGGCTTCCCTGCGCAAAGTCGACTTGGATGCAACTTTGAAGCCAGCTTTCCTGCAAGGGCAGATGCGCCCAAGCGTGGAAACAATGCACGCTTCTGCCTCGGACGCTCCTTCGTTGCATTCCAAAAGAGGCCTGGCAGACTCGCATTTAACGGCCAACTCCAAAATGGAAATTGGATTGCCTGGGTCGCACTCAAACAGCCCAATGCCACTGCAAGAGCTGCACAGCAGAGCCACCAAGCATGTCAACTGGTCCACCAAGGAGAGGCGTGCCTAGTCAGGCTCAACTAGCCACGGCCACGACCGCGGCCCTTCTCCTTTTCCTCCCCCTTTATCTTTTCCTTTGTTTCCGTCTCGTCGCCGTTGGCGGCGTTGCTGTTCTTCCTGGGTCCGGTGGAAGTAGATAGCTAGCAAGTCTGTTTCACCGTTTTCTCGAGCGGTTTTATTCTTTTCGTTCATGTGTTCGCGGAGGGCGCGGAAGATCTGGAAGGACAGGTCCCCAAACTCGAGTGTGAACAAGAAGTGGCCGGGGGCTCGGATCCTCTGGTTGGTGTTCTGTTAGGGTCCCGCGACCTGCGAAGCTTGTTGGGCAAGATGAACCGAGTTCCAAGTAGTAAGGCCGGAACCAAACAAAACCAAAGCGGAGGGATCGGGTCCTTACACAGGGCTTCAGCCGCATCCTTGGCTAGAGTCTCGAACACTCTGGAGTCTTCGGCTCGTTTGAACACACGTTCAACACTGGCAGAGTTTTCTATAGTCACTCTAGTACGAAGATGATCGCTTTCACCTGTCTCGACTGGGCTTCTTGGAGGGCCTTCACGTCTTGCTGGTCTACTTGCGTTTTGCGCTGGCCCCGACTGGGGCTGCTGGGCGTCTACTCCCATCGCATCGGCGTTTCAACTCCCAAGTCCTGTGAGCCACGCCGAGGCGGATGCCTATCACGCTCTGCACCGAAACAAAAGGTTGTCAGGCAACACCATGAAGACGGGACCATGGGCGGTTTGAGGGGAATACCTTCCTTGGGAGCTCGTGGCGTCCCGCTGTTCTGACTCAGGACGCGCCTGGTTGGGGTACCGAGACGCGCAAGGTAACCCCGCCTGGCAAGAGGAATCCACCTACCACCTTGTCACTGTTTATTGACATCGACTCTCACGGTTCTTCCGGGCTTGTACGCTTCCCAAGACAGAACCACAGAATTGACATCGGCGGTTTGCGTCACCGATGTAGGACGTTTGGTCGGGGTGTGCCCTTAGGTCGACGCGCCAATATTGGCCGCATGCCTCACACCCACAGACCTCAACCGTGGGTTTGTCTGGATCCGCGCAAGCGTGGTGATCGACATAGTGGGCGACGAGGCTGTTGCTTTTAGCGAAACCTTGTGGGCAGTGACATTGACGCCAGCCGTCGCGGTCCTGAGCTAAGCGGAACCAGTCTAATTCGGTAACTTGAATCAGGTATTGTATCGATTGTTGTTTGCGATACCTAGGCCGGGGCTGAGTCATGTGGCTGGTCCACCATCCGAACAAGACCTTTTGGGGCAGACGGTGACAGCCCATCCGGGCTACATGACCAAGCCAGAACAGCGATTGTCGTGCGAGGGTAAACTCAATGGGCTCCCACTGGGCTAGCGTGCACAGTTGCATACTTTTGACCTGGTGTTGGTGTAACCAGGGTCGGTTGCCTGGGGGCGCTGCCGATCTGCGCGAAATACGACCCGTTGGAGCATCATAAAATGTTCGCGATTCCAGACCCGAGAGCGACCGAAGCATGTCAACGAGGGCAGAAGGACACTTTTCAAGACCTTGATCCGGATGGAATAGAGCATTTCCGTTGCTGCGATCGAGCGTTGAACTGCCAGGACCTGGCTAGTTGACGAAGCTTAACGGAAGCTCGGGAAATGCGCTGGGTCGTGTCACGTTGGCTCCCCCCTGTTCCTCTAAGACGCCGCCAACGTGGCGAACCCAAGCTTGCTTGCCCTTAAACCGGACATCAGTAGGTTGTCGGGGTGTACCCGGAATGCGCAAGCTTTCGGTTTTGCCCGGATGGACCTTTTCACGCCAGTCTCTCGCCGATCAAAGTTGTGTCATCAGCAAAACCGATGTCTCCAATACCCACCTGACGGGTCTTCAATGAGAGATGCTCTCGACTATGGCTGTTGTGTCCGACCCGACCATCGCATGTGACCGTCCATTGAACGCCCGGTGTTGGATTTTTGACATGACGGCACGACGGCAGCACGATAGCAATTAAACAGCGGAGGGGAGCTGGGACACCCCTCCCTCAACCCTTGTCGACTGAATACACTGAGGATGGTAGCTAGTGCCCTCATGAAGCGCCTGGCAAATGCTGATAAAACGATGTGGGGCACCCTTACGTTGCAAGAGGCGCCACAAGGTGTCACGAGAGACTCTGGGGTAGGCCTTTTCAATGTCCAGCAGGCGGATCAGGTCTAAACACGTCGGGCCACTATAGCCGGGCTAAAAGCTTGGACCCAATGCTTAAGAGAGTAGCCCCTCGCCACATAGACTTGTCATTCTTGCAACTTTTCTTATTCGAGAGGGGGCTGACTAAACCTTCATTCCAACTAGTTGGCCAATCTTGCGCCTCCTCGCCTGCTGATGCGTACCGGGCTGCCTGCCACCTTTGGCGCACAATGGCATGTATTCGAGTTTGCAATTCTGGGCTACCATATTCATAGGATTCGGGTAGGAATCCGTCCACGCCGGCCGCTTTGCCGGTTCTTCATCTTGAGTCCACAGCCGCGAA